AAGCCTACATATATTTTTAAATGTAGTATAAACCTTTAGAGGTTTTTCTTTATCTGGATATGTCTTTTCTGTGAATCTTTACCTTTTTCTGGCCACCAGTCTTTATCTGTTAAACAATACCACCAAAATTAAAGTGGTGGCTTTCTTAGCCGCTGTCTTTGCTTTTTTCTGCTTTTGCTGAGTCAGGAAATCTCTCTTAAAGCAACCATTCAAGTCTCTGCTTGTCTCTAGAAAAACAGAGATCACCCAAGAAAATGCTGATAATAATAAGTGCTTGTCTCTGATCTTTTGTTGCTAAAATCCCTTTTTAAGCTTTTGTAAAGTTTACATGGAAGTTCGTAACACTACCTCTAGCTGCCCGGGTTCTGCCACTGTTTGACTAGTCTCCGGAAGGCAGGAAGGCAGCCTGGGATGGTGACAACTCAGAATCCTAACCCTAGGACCCTCAAGGGCTGCAGGCTGTCTCAGGAGTGCTGGAGTCCAAACCCCAAGAGCACCGGGACGGTGCGAGCAATATGGAAGCTGCTCCGACAGGGCAGGCTGTGGCTGCAGATTTCCCTCTTTCTCTGGGAACCTTGGGCCATGGGGTCATCCCACTTCTGACACCATTCTGTTATGATAAATCTTTCTGCCAAAGGCTGCCCGAGCCCCACTGCCACGTGTACGCTCTTCACCAGCTGCCCGCTCGAGTTAAGGCCCCAATTAATGCACAGAGAGACTTGTATTAGGTACAATGCTGCTTGGCCAATGACTAGGATTCTCATCTGCTAGCTCAGTCTTAATTATCATAAATCTATGTATTTTATAAGACTTATCTTATCAGATGCCTTATTGGCGTCCCTCTTTGTTGGTGGCTTACATGTTGCCAGTGAAGGAAGAGTGGAGGGGAAAAGGGGACACTTTCTGTTTCCTTTGCTTAAATATGAGTCTCCTTGCTATGTCACTTCCTCCCTGGATCACCACTTCTCTACTACATTTCCTAGAATCCTCTTTGACTCCTCATCCTGTCAAACCTGCTGTCTCATTGGCCAAACAGTATTTTATTCAATAATCAACAAGATAAACATACAAAGAAGTACATTCCCCATCACCTCCTCTTCCCCCCTTCTCTTTCTCCTAGCTCCCTTCCCCTCCCTCCATGCTCCCCCTCCCGCACAGCAGCTTACATAGTACCTTCTGGTACCATGAAACCTAGTCATCCAAGGAAGAAGCTTCCAATCAGCATCAACTTGATTTTTCTGTTCTGTGACAAAAGTCTGTGGTTTCCTCAATAATAAAGTCTTACCACCAAGTTCTGGTTGTCAACAAAGTGCAATATTGATAGCCTGTATTGTTTTGGAGATTTCTGGGTCACCTTTGACAAACAACCTAAGGGGAGGCATCCAACACTTGGCACTGGGCTATTAATTTGGCAACCTTTAGCTTTTAGAAAGAGCATAATGCCCTGTATAGGGTGACTACAACTAAACTTTTATATAAATCTCTCTCTCTCCCGCCCCCTCCCTCTCTGTGTTTCTCTGTGGCTTTGGAGGCTGTCCTGGAACTAGCTCTTCTTGTAGACCAGGCTGGTCTCAAACTCACAGAGATCTGCCTGCGTGTACCTTCCAAGTGCTGGGATTAATGGTGTGCAACTTTTTGTTGTTGTTGTTGTTGTTGTTTTGTTAGAGTCTCACTATGTAGCTCTGGATGGTGTCAAACTCACTATGTAGACCAGGTTGGCCACAAATTCACAGAAAGCAGTCTGCCTCTGCCTCTCAAGTGCTGAATTAAGGGCATGTACCACCATGGATGCCTATTTTAACATCTCCTACCCTCTCCTCTGCCCGACTCTTCCATCCATTTCTCCACCTAAACCTCTATTACCCTTATCCCCCACTTCATATAACTAGTTTCTATTATTCCAGTCTCTTAAGTTAGTTTTTTTCATCCCCATGGTCTTTTTCTAGTTTCCTAGATTCCACAAGTACTCCATGGTAGACATACAAATCTAAAAATAATTGATGGTAATCTATGAAACACTCCAACTTTAAGTAGGATGAAGACAAGAAACTAAAATGGTATTTAGAGATAAATAATATCTTTTACATAAATAAAAGGATGTTCTGGAAGCCAAGTGAAAATTCAATGAAGGGAGAGTGATCAGCTATGTTAAATGTTGCTGATAGGTTAAGTGAAATGAAGGCTTAAATTGGCTCTAGCACCATGCAGCTAGGAGTAAGAAATGAATGTTATTTCAGAAGAGTCAGAAACAGTTACTATTCTAAATATTTGAAATATTTCTTTGCATTTAATTCTCACATTAGTCTTGAGTAGCACATAAAATTCTTTGTTTCATATTGTCATTGTGGAATAACATCTTTATATAAGTATTTACTTATTTATTTGACAATTGAATGCCTGTATATATCACATAATATGTGGTAATTTCAAATATATATCCATTACGATATGATTAAATCTAGTTAATTATATGCATGGCCTCACTTTTTTGATGACAACATAATAGCCACTCTCAGTATTTTTCAAGATGATAATATATAATCATTAAATGCATTCATCATGCTGTATAATCAATGTTTCTTATGTAATTATAATTCTATATTTTGACCAACAACTTCACAATGTGATGTACATTTTTAATCTCACTCACCAGAAGCTGTATAAGAGATGTCAGTGTTCATTGAAGAATACATTAATAGTATCAATCTCTTAGCCCATCCCACCTTACTTAACCCCATAGCCCTTGTCAAATTTAAACATGGTAGATAATTTCGCTTGTATTTTCTACTTCTCTCTGCTCTATTATACATTAATTGAGCATATTGATCATTTTGTTTTATTCAGTAGATATCTCAAATAATATTTAGGACCTAGTTGGTATGTGTTGAGTAAGGGAAATATTATTATAAAAGAAACAATTCATTTGTGATTTATTGCTATGATAAAGAAGAAATATATTCCCACTAAAGTATTTTTCCAGGAAGAACTGTATGCAGATGGATATATGAAAACTCTTTTTACTTTCAGAAATGGGTGAAAGTATACTACGTGTTAAAAGACACATCCTATAGATAGATGACTATTAATTTGAAAATTAATATGTAGACCATGAGTGCTATAAAATTTTCTAATACCCATCTAATAAGTTCCTTCATGTCAACTGTGCAGTAATATTTAATGTGTTGAAACAACACAAAAGGCCATAAGTAGCCTATTTACTAACTGTCTTTGTTGGACAACAGGGTAATCTCATATCAGTCCTTTAGGAGACAGTGAAAAAAATATCTAAAGACACTATGTCAGTAAACTCCTCCTTTATTCACTCCCAGGGAAGCATGAAAAACTCCATTCTCCTATCTTCACAAATCTGTTGACATTTCTATGTGGGTGTATGCCATATCAGTTTTTACTCTATGCACCAGAGAATCATACTCACGTTATTTGGCTGCATCCCAAGATGTATGAAAACACATATAGTTCATAAATGAGTCACTTATTTCTAAAAAAAATAAAAAGAGAAACTCTGGAGGCCTGGGAAAGATGGGGGCAGGCTTATTTTCCTGGCAGTCTATTCTCTTCTCATGTTTCTTCTTGCATTTCTTGTGGTGTGGTAGTCTGTTAACTTGTAGTTAAGAAGTGAGTGGGGGAGGGAATAACACAGCCTGCCCTTAAAGAACTGGCAGCTTAGACTGAGTTGAATGCTTTTATAGAATCCAGAGAGCTAAAGTAGCCAAAGCAGAGCAAAGGTAGCATCTGTGAACAAAATGTGGATAGTTTTGAAAGCATTCTTAAGACAATTTTCTTCGTTCCCTGTACCTAAGTGCTAACTGCCACATCTTCATTAGTTGATGGTTAGGAAATCCTGAAATCCTACAGACTTGGTATGATCACTGAATGTGTTCAAACATGTAGGTTTAGAACACTTGCTGAAATGGAAAAATGGGATGACGTAAATCTCTTAAGAAGGAACTTGAGAAATTTCATGGTCGAGCAACAGTGAAATGTTTGATTCACTCATATGAAACAACTTGTATTCCTCTATTGTGTGAGATATTTATTTTATCTCTACCTAGATGTCCAAATTTCAGAGGCCAGTGGGGAGACTACTGGTACATGGGGGACAAATGCAAACAACTGTGGAGCACTGTGGACCTGATTTTAGTAGCAACATTGCCTGGAATAGCACTGGCTCTAATCGTTGGTGTGGTAATCCAGATTATCCACTACTGTAAAGGGAAGTCAAAAAAGAATGAAGGTCATCACAGGTAAAGGATTTCTAAGTACTTCAGAAAAAAGTAGATAGTCTCTCATGTGACCAGCAAATGAATCAAAATTTAATGAATGTCGTTTATTATGCATGCAATGTGTATGTTTTCTTTCCTATTCATCATTATAATTCAAAGTCAAATTAACAGTGCCAAAGTACACATATTTAGTTTAGGATTTTCATAGAGAAAAATTTAAAAGCTCTTCTCCAGATAAAAGCAAATGCAATTGACAAAAAGTCCCATTTCAGTGTTTTCTTTCCACTAAGGTAGTGTTGTGTGCACCACAATTCTGCCCTGTTGGTGTGGGAACAGACCACTGCTGTGTTAGTCCATTCAACTCCCTTACACCAGCAGCAATATCAAAGACACCAATCTAATAGCCTTGACTTGATGAGACTCTGTCTTATTTAACTAATTTCCCTTCCTTGGGCTTTAATTTTCTCATCTACAAAATAGAGCTTTTTATAATCAGACATACTTCAGGGATGGTGAGGATGATACTAAAAGCAGCAATCAGGTATTGGCTGTTTATTATTCATGGCAAGATGAGTTACTAATGTTTCACACTTATTAATTCATTTAATTCTCTCAACAACCCTATAAAATGCTGATGAGACTACCGAGGCATAGAAGATCAAATAAATTGGCCAAGGTTTTGGTGCTAAATCTGGTTACTAGGCATGAATTCTATGCTGTGCTAATAGAATCTGATTGACTAAAATAATGTTAAAGCTATGCCATACTGTATCACCTTTAGTTCTTTATGTAAAACAAACTATATCTTTTATAGTTTTCAATGCTACCAAACTTCAGAAATATGAGATTAAATACAAACGTGTAATCTCATCAGTTTTCTGTCAATTAAAATTATCATCTACATCATCATTCCTCTGTGACCAGACAATGTTACCTTCCAAGCATTATAGGGATGCTATCAAATATTATTTTAAAATGGGAACCAACTGGTACTGTTAGCCTCATATTGATAAGAACTGGCTTTCAGTTTGAAACAAAATCAGTGATTTGAACTGCCATATATATTTGTCTGTTGAAAGAGGAAGATTAATCGTACCAATCATTTTATCATTTCAAATTTCCAGTCTTTGTGCCATGTGGTGTATTCAGGTGTATATGTATGGATATATAATACATATAATGTTAATCACCATTAATGCTATAAATTCAAATTAATATGAAGAACTTCATATTATCAGTATATATATAATCTGTAAACCCCTTGAGACACTAAAGAATCATTACAAGTAACATGTAGGTCACTTTAGAAATAGTCTCTGTAATTTTCCTATCCCAAAGTTCTTTGTTAGATTTGTCATCTTTATTTATGTGCATGTGTATCTGTGTTTGCAGCTTTGGGGTGGATGTCCACAGACACTAGAAGAGGGTATCTGATACCCTGGAAGTAAAGTTATAGACAGTTGTGAGCTGCTGAAAATGGGTGAGGGGAACTCAATTTGGGTCCTTTGGAAGAGCAGGAAGTGCTTTTAACCATTTAGCACTTAACTCCAGTTCTCTATTCTAAAATTCTTAGTCAATGAACATATATTCAATTTCTCTTTCTTCTATTGACTCTATGACTTTGAGTTAACCAAAGTTTAGTTTCCTCATTTATAGAAAGAGGAGTGTGTATCTTACTTCTTCATTAGTCTGAGATTTAAATTAAATACTAATGGTATTAAGAATGATAGACAAAACTGAAACCTTATTATAAATCAAGATAGTAATAGCCTTCATAGGATTTGAGCTCATTTCTGGGCTTTCTGTATACTTTAGCTACTCTATTTTCTTTCATTTAATGTGATTTTTAGTTTGAGTTCCTTTTTATAGCTCTTTAATTATATGAATTGTGAATTGATGAGATGACTCTGAATCTATTCTTGAGATTCTTTAGCTTAGTGGAGAATGTAAAGATTATTGAGCTTAAATAGGGTTCATGCCTCTTCCCTGCACCACTTCCCCTTTCCTTAGATTGCTTAGCCTTAAGTTTCTTATCTGTAAATTTAATTTAAAACACGTAACTAGCAGGCTTTGTGTAATATTCGAATGAGACAGTGTGATTCTTTGTGTAACATCCTGCTTTCTAAAATTTACTTTCAATTGCATAATAAATAACAGATTAATGGTTGGATAGGAAAATGGATATATAAATATATATGTTAATATATGCAATAACATGGTAATGTTTAAATCAATATGGGAGATATATGAATATTTGCTGAAATTCATTTTGAGTTTGCTATATACTTGAAAGTTTTTGAAACAAAATATTACATAAAATCAGATGAAGGAAAGCATCTTTATCATGAAATAGGTCTGGTATATTGCAGCTGCTACTAATTCCTTTTCTTGAGTACAGTCTTAAAATGGGAACATTCGTTGTATATTATAAAAAATTAAGACATTTGTATAATCAGTCATGCAAATGCTTTATCATAACTGAATTCTTTAATTTTTTGTGCCAGAGAAGAGAGGACTATGTCAGAACTTCGACCTTACCATAATTCTGCATATGGTTTTGATACTGATAGGAATCTTCCTCAACCTAATCAAGGCAAGGTAAACACTGAAACTCCTTTGTCAAATAAACTAAGTTTACAGAAGACATCAAAGAAAGAACTGCCATGGAAAATTATAGCAGAACATACAAATGCTAAAGTAAATGTTATGAAAAAATTAAAATTGCAAAAATATGGATGTTTGGTGCCAGATTTTATATAAAATATCAATAGAGTACAGGCCAGGCCTTCAGCAGTGATACTAGAAATGCTCTCTACCTTTTCTTCCCATCAGTTTTTTCTGAGTGAAATCAACTTAAAGCAGATATCAAAGACAGGCTCAGAGAAAACTAAAATACATAGCAAAAAGGAAACAAAAGTTTCCTGAAGAGGGCAATGGAGATATGAGTAAAAAGACAATAATTTTATCTAGATATTAAAATCTTATATCTAGCAATATATTTCCAATTACATAAATGATTTAAAAGAAGTCGTGTGGAGATCTTGGAGACTCAATGTATTTTAGGAGTCGCTCTGAATACAAAATTAAAGGGACCTTGTTGTCACATTAGACTGCAAGTATAAGAGACATCAGAAATATTGTTGTTCAAACGAATCATTAAGGGCCACTGTTGTGGTTTGAAAGAAAATGCCCCCTAAAGGGAGTGGCACTATTAGGAGGTGCGGCTTTGTTGGAGTAGGCATGGTCTTATTGGAGAAAGTGTGTCACTGTAGGGGTGGGCTTTGAGATCTCTTTTCTCAAGCTTCAGTCAATTTTGACAATCAGTCCACTTGCTGCTGCCTTCTGGTTAAAATGTGGTCACCACATCTGTCTGAATGCCACATGCATCATAATGATAATGGACTGAACCTCTGAAACTGTAAGCCACCACTTCAATTAAATATTTTCTTTGAAAGAGTTGCTGTGGTCATGGTGTGTCTTCACAGCAATAAGAAACCCTAACTAAGAGAGCCACAAATTCTTTTTGTTGTCTTTTATTTATCTTCAAATATGCCAATAGCGATCTCTGTATTCTATAGAAGTAAGAACTGTATTGAAATTAAATAACACCAAACTCAGTATACTTCTATATATGTGTCTAAACTGGTACCATCTTAATATCAAGGCCAGTTAAACACAGGGACACTAAAAGGTTAATATCAATGTTTATTGAATAAAAAATTTGTGGCAATTAGTTTTTTCTACCTAAAATCAAATAAATTAAATATTTGAACTTTAAAATAGCATCATTAAAGATCTCTTCCAAGGCATCTTTCAAAAAATATAAAATTATTCTGGATGAATATACTTATGTAGATATTGTTCAT